AGAAACTGGGCCCGGGGCAGCTGCCCCGTTTGCCCCGCATTAAAGACGGCCCTGCTCACAGCCCACCTTACAGCCCACCTTACCCACCTCACAGCCCCCTTATCCACCTCACAGCCCCCTTACCCACCTCACAGACCCCTACCCACCTCACAGCCCACCTCACAGCCCACCTTACAGCCCTCTTACCCACCTCACAGCCCGCTTACCCACCTCACAGCCCCTTACCCACCTCACAGTCCCCTACCCACCTCACAGCCCACCTTACGGCCCCCTTACCCCACCTCACAGTCCCCTACCCACCTCACAGCCCACCCTTACGAGCCCCCTTACCCGCACCTCACAGGCCCCACTACCCACCTCGCAGCCCCACCTGCGCGGGTCCAGCACCCACCTCCCACGGCCCCGCGCCGCGCCTGAAGCCTCCCAGGCCTCCCTGACACCTCACAGCCCACCCCACAGTCCCCCTTACCCACCCCCTTACCCACCTCACAGCCCCCCTGCCCACCTCACAGCCCCCTACCCACCATACAGAACCCCTACCCACTCACAGCCCCCCTACAGCTACCCTATCCACTATACAGAACCCCTACCCACCTCACAGCCCCCCTACCCACCATATTAGAAAAATAAATATATATCAATAATATGTAAGGCATATATGTATGCATGTCTTGCCACCCCAGATGATTGAGTAATCTATAACACACACACATATATATATATATATATATGTTATAGATTACTCAATCTAATACAGAGTTTCCCAATTACACTAGGGTTCCGCGAGAACAAAATTGGGCTTCCGCTGTGATTTCCACGTCGGGTGCCCCAAGCATTTAGGGCCATCTGATGGGTATCGCTAAACAGGGGTCCGGTCTGGGGCCCTGTAGCATTGGATTCTGGGAGGAAGGGACAGCACTTCCTCCCAGACAGAGTGCGCCGCCTGGAGGGGGAGAGGGAGCAGCGAGGACTGAGCAGCACACCAACCTGAACAAGCAGCACTGAAGATCCTCCTTCAGAAATGTTGATACACTATGTCTGGCATAGATTTTTTTCCAGGGCTGTTTTTGTATCCCCAGCCCTGGACAAGGGTTTTGTAAAGTGGGTGACAATGGTTTTGTAGAGATATGACAGGGGTTTTGTAGCGGGGGGGGGCAGGGGTTTTGTAGAGGGGCATAGGTTTTGTAGAAGGGAGGCAGGGATTTTGTAAAGGGGTGACATGAGTTTGTAGACGAGTTAATAGGGGTTTTGTAGAGTGGTGACAGGGCTTTTTGTAGAGGGTGGTGGGCAGGAGTTTTGTAGAGAGGAGTGAACAGTTATTTTGTAGTTAGGGATGAACAGGGGTTTTGTAGAGGGTGGCAGGGGTTTTGTTGAGGGGTAATAGGGTTACAACATTATATTGTAAGAGTTTTTCACTTGGGTAATAAAATTGTAACAGTATTACGCTATGTCAGTATCTTTTCTATTTTAAGGTTTGATACATATAAAGACACAGATTTTACGTATATGCTACTGTTGCAGCAATTAATCCCTGTGAATTGCTTGGAAGTACCCTCAATTAAGACTGAATTTGGAACTCTTTGATGGACAAGACATTTTTGGGTTGAACCCTGTGTTTATTACATAGGGGTATATTCACTTAGCACTGATACTAATTTTGTTTTTATTTTGTGTCTTATAAGATATTTTAAAAACTTGGGAAGGTTTTTTTTATTGTATCTAGCAGCTTTCCAATTTAATTTTCTTGTGGAACACTAAGTTTGGGGCATTGTTCTAGAAATTCCACTGTATTATTCTTGACGTGCGCTCTCTATACTGTGTTTTTGTAAATACGGTGGTTTGTCTTTTTACGACTATCACCGTTTATGTGCAACAGAGTCATCAGCAGCTCTGGCTCAGTACAATGTAAGGATGGATTGGAGCCAAATGGATAAGAACCCCAGCTTGTGCAATATTTGCAGTGACCACACATGTGGCAAACCTCTGCCCGGATACACTGGACACTACACTGGGCAGATAAGCAAGGCAGGGACAAACTTGGTCATCCAATTGTGTATCTAGGCAAGTCCCAAATTTGTAACAACTTTAATGTGGGGGTTTGTGTTTATAGTGCATGTCGTTTTTTGCATGTATGCTCTCATTCTGCAGGGCACACTCAAAAACCATGTGCCGGAATAAAATGCATATAAAACCTTACCTGACATCAGTAAATATTGACGCTCCGGCAGAGCTACTGTCCACTCACCCATCTAAGCATCTGGTGGAGTATTTAATCACAGGGTTTTCCCAAGGGTTCCACACGGGTCTTATCTACATACTGAGAGGGACTTGGGAGTCTAACAACCTGCAGTCGGTCTTGGCCAACACAGACGCTATTGATCGAGCAAGAACAAGGGTTTGTACTACGACCATTCACAGAACCCCCCTTCTCTAGCTGGAGAACTAACCCTATTGGTTTGGTCCCGGGAAAAAACACAAGCAGAGATAACTACTATCATACCTGCAGGCATAGGCGTCTGGCTTAGCAAGATGGATATTGTGAATGCATTCTAGTTACTACCAATTCACCCGTCATTATGGCACCTGGATGGCATTAAATGGACGGGTCTATACTATTTTTATGAGGCTCACTTTCGGCTCAAGAGTAGCCCAAAGGTTTTTCGACACTTTTGCGGAGACCTTGTGTTGGCTGCTCTTAAATACAAGCAGGTGCCATAGCGTCATCCATTACCTGGATGATTTTCTGTTCATAGAAAATAATGCATCCGACCCATGCAGTCTAAACAAGGCGGTACTATTATCTGACTCATTAGGTGTATTAGTGTCTTCTAAAAAGACAGAAGGACCAGACACCATATACATTTTCTGGGAATACAACTTGACTCTGTAGCCATGGAAGCCAGCCTACCGCAGGACAAAAAGCAACAGTATCCAACACAACATAGACCTGTACTTACAAACAGGATCATGTATCAGGAAGGAACTGCAGTCACTGATTAGCTCATTAATTTTGCCATGCGTATAATACCACAAGGTAGAGCTTTCATTTCAAGGCTCTTGTGGCTCCTCCCCATATTCCCCGACGACTACAGCCGTATCTCCCTTAACCATAAGACAACTGCAGATCTCCATATGTGGAACATGTTTCTCGCAAATTGGAACAGGAGAAGCATGTTTCTCCCTCAGGTATCCATAGACTCCCCAACCATTTGGATGGACGCAGCAGCATTCACTGGTTTTGCGGCCATTTTCGGGAACGAACGGCTCTGGGGTTGTTGGCCACACGAAGTATGACATATAGAGGGGTTCTACAAGAACTCCGCACTGTTCGAGGTTTACCCCATAGTAGCCGCAGCAGTGACTTGGGGCCAGTTATGGGCAGGAAGACCGGTACGAGATTTTTCAGATAACTTGGCAATCTGCCATCATAAACAAGGGCCGATCTTCCTCACTGATGATTATGAAGTTTATCAGGAGACTGACGTGGTTGGCAGCCTGTCACCAGTTTTATCTGGTATGCTACCAAGTTCCCAGGCATTTTAACACAGCTGCTGACCAGTTATCTTGTTTTCAATTTCAGGCATTCAGGAGGTCCCTACCTACTGCCTCACCACTGGCCATGACTGCCCCCCTGCTCCATAGATCTAATTATGGCTTAAAAGACTTACTACATTATAGCAAAAGGTTGGCAATACTTGCATTATCAAAAAAACATGCACCGTGCATATGACAGGGCGTTCTTCTTGTATAAAAGGTTCATGACAGTGCACCACCTGGCCAACAGGTTCGACCCTACAACCTTGATGGCTTTCGCCACTTTTTGCCACCTCAAATTGAAGCTGTCACAGAACACCATTAAGTTATATCTCACGGGCATCCAACACCACATGTTCTCAACTTTTCCCAACAACCCAAGCTTCCTCACATCCTACCCCATAAAAACCATTCTTAAGGGCATATCCAAGGCAAACTGTCCTACTCCACAACTTAGGTTACCAATTGACATACAGTTGTTCAAACTTATGTCAGGCTTACTGGATCCAGCACTATTCGAAACTCATACAAACTCTGTCATCAAAACAGCCATATACTTGGCTTTCTACGGCTTTCTCAGACCACGAGAATTCAATCAGGGGACAACATAATGGTCAAAGTTGCCTTTGCACCTCATACATTAACAAACAACAAGACCATTACATTCTGAGCCTACCCACGACTAAGACTAGTCAGATGGGTCAACCCGTTCTTATCTATTACTACCCCAGCTACAATTTATGGTGCCCAGTGAAAGTTTTTGATGCATACCTACTTTCTGTACCCACTCACGCTTTACCCCCTATCCTGTCACTTCACGGGGCTACCCTCACCACTTCTAAATTTATGGTGTATGTACGACTATTGTTGGCACAACTCGGCTTGAATGCCAACAGATATTCTGGACACTCATTCAGGATAGGGACAGCATCTACTGCCTCAAGCCAAGACATTCCAGTACATGTTATCAAAACCTTAGCCCGCTGAAAGTCATCAGCTTATGCAGTTTATATACCCCAACCGGTACAGGAAATACTATGGCATTCGTTAAGATGTCCTCATAAATATGTATGTACTATGACATGTGGTTTTATAATAAATATCTTTTGAGCAAAATTGGTGTTACGACACGTACCGTCGGGTAGATGAAGCCGCCGTTTAGGCAATAATCCCCTTCTCCAGAAATGCAGTTTAAATCCAGCCGATCGCCAAACTCCCGAACGAAGTCCACGAACACGGCAACTCCCGATCAGCCAAACAGTCGAACGCCTTCCACAGCTAGAAATAACGAAAGCGCTGTCCCAGTAATAATTCCCCCACAAACGAGACCAAGCTCCGTCTTGAGGGTCAAATGAAGTTCTGTTTAATGGGGGCTACCTGCCCGGTATTTATGCAGGTCTCCACAAGGTGGACACTCCCCGAGGGGACCTTGTGGAAGACTGTAAAACATATTGGACAGTAGCCAATCGCAGTGGCTTCAATAATAGCCCTTCCCATCTGGCCCATAATTCCGTCTTCTCTACCTCGGAGATAATTGGGAAGAAACCTAATTATCTCTCAAGGTAGAGACAATCGCCATCTTGAAATACAATAACAAAAATACATTAAAATACATAACGACAGAAATACCGAATGCATATGGTTCGTGTAACGTATCCCCAGACAGCCTGGATCTGAGGGCATGTTTTCACCGAATAGCGCTCAGATCCGATGTATCTAGTCGAATCGCCATGGAGTCAAAGTCTTTCACCAGTCCTTCGGTATACGAATGACTCCATGGGATGGCTGTCGGGGTAAAAGTCCATACGAATGAATAAAACTCCCGAACGACCGACGTTCGCATGCCTTGTCGAAAAGGAAGGTAGGCAGCAGCTTTTCAGCGGTGTTCGGTAGTTTAAGTGTCCGTTTTTAGTTCCATACAGTTTGTACCGAACACCGCTCTGTGTTCGTATGTCCCAAAATGGCCGCTGCCTCGTGGTCGACATGCGAACGACGACCACCCGTACGAATGGAATGGAGAGGTGTCTGCGGTTAACCACAACGTTCTAATTGGGGCCAAGAGGTTAACCAGCAGCACACTCCTCTCCTGGGTGGTCGTTCGTTCGGTAGTTTCAATCGGCATTTTGCAAATTACACGAACGGGGGTATATGAACAGGCAATTCCGCGAACAAAGGGAAACAGACAAACCAACAATGCAGATGAATCTGTCACAATTGGTATTCCTTTTGCCCACTTTATTTACAGCCCTACAACCTACGTCGGTATCACCTCAACCTACTTTGCTTATTAAAGGTAGATGACTTTATCTCTATTCATGGCCCCGAACACAAATATATATATATAGATATATATATATGTATTAAGGCAATTTGCCTGGATTTGTGGGAGGTGCTGGTTTGCTACCCCTAGCCTACTTAACGCACTCCCCTTACCTGGCTCCTTACCGTTCGAGGTCAGCGTTGAATGACCCTCCCACCACACCACATTTTAACATTTATTTCCTTTCTATTTCTTTTTCCTGGGTAGGCCCTCTTCTTTCTCAGGCCTACCTCATCGTCGGTTTCGGCACACCACAACCGACTTGCTCCTTTTATTATCCTACGTTTATTCATGGTATTTCACACTGTACTATCTTAAGCACCTAACACATATATATCTATAAATAATTATGTATGTATGAATGTTTATATGTGGTTGGTGAATTAATCATGCTTTAGAATTTAAGTTTTATGTGGTGCCATTTGGAACTTGGAAATCACAGACAATGCAGCAATAAAAAATCAACAGACTTATTATTGCTATATTGGCTGATTTTTACTGCTGCTAGGCTCAGGCTGGTTTAATTTTACTGATGCTATGTATGTTGATTTTTAATGCTATGTCTGTTGATTTATACTACTGGTAGACCGGTGGATTTTTACTGCTACTATCACAGCATCAATATAAATCAGCAGACATATCAATAGTAAAAATCAACTGACATTTTTTACTACTACTATCATGGCATCAGTAAAATTCAGCCTACATAGCATCAGTAAAAATCAATGGACATTTTTACTGATTTTAACTAATCTTGATGTTATACAGACTTTATAAAGCATTATATTAATGTTATAGTTCTGCAACAGCTGGCAACCAACCCCTCTGGTCACCCTTGCTTTAGAAGCTTAACTGTCAATAAAATTCTTAGATTTAACCCATAAACGTTAAAACCCTCACAGTTAACAAACAGTTTTTCTGGCACTGCAGGTCCCCTCTCCCTCCCATCTCCCATCCCAGGTTGCTGAGGGGGTTAAAACTCTCATAGACAGCCACTAGAGGAGGACTTAACCCTGTTAGGCAACTAGTGCAGTTTATGAAAAACTGCACTAATTACACTTGCAGGATTAAGGGTAGTGGGAGTTGGCTCCCAGACCACTCCAATGGGCAGGGGTGGTCTGGGTGCCTGGAGTGTCCCTTTAACCCTCGGTCAGGCGCAACTGATCCAACAGGCACAGCCAATGTTTGTTGTTTTGTCCTACCAAAGCGAGCGCTCGTTACCGCCCGGCCGCCTCAGTAGCTTGTTGTTTTTACATTCCGCAGTATGCATTTGAACATCGTGTGTGTGAGTCGCAGCACTTTGTGTCTCTTATGCACATTGCGCCCAATTGCAGTATAAGCATTATATGTCTATAATTACATTGGTAAGTAATTTTTCTAATTAATTCAAGGATATTAATGCCATACCTGATTGTTTTTCAATGTTATAATGTTCAACTCCATAATGAGGCACAATGTTCCTCTCAGGCACATTGCGCCCGATGATGCTATTTTTGTTATTTCTTTGTAGATTCTGCAATAAAAATGGACAACTCAAAGAGAATTTTCCATTTCAATAATCCGAATGATGTAGCGGATATAATGAAAATGCTAGAGGATGAATCAGATGATGAAAATATTTTTTAAGATTCAGATGAAAGCGACGATAGCGTGACTGAAGATAACATGGAAGCACGCATTGATTACGGCATTATTAAAGTCCGGATTGGAAGATGAAATGGACAGATTTGATTGGTCTATGGGCGAAAGGGGAGGGTTCTAAGTACCTGTTTCCGCGCCAAAATTCTTTTTTAAATGTGTATGGAGTTTGTTTTTAATATTGCACCTGAGGAAGACGTATTTTAGCATCGAAACGCGTTGTGCTCTTTGTTGGCATCACAGAATCCTGAATGTAAGATTTTATATATTTTTTAATAAATGATATTGTTGTTATACTTCTAACTGGTGTTTGCCTATCCTGTTTCTCCTATACACTGAGGATCAAGCTCCATCCTTTTGGAATTCATCTGAGAACGTTTCTCTAAAGTGACACTACCTGAGCCAGTTCCTTTACTAACAGGCTCTATCATATGTGAGTTGGATTATAAAGACTACTATATTAGATCTACTCACCATTGCAGTATTATGCTATGATTCTCCTGTTTTTTATGTACATGGCTTATACCTACTGACATCTGTTACATTGGGTTATTTATCCTTACTTTTATTTGATTTATACATTCACCTAAGGTGGTAGTACCACTGATATATATCTTTGTTAATTTATTATATGCGCTGCACACTTTTTTTTTGTATTGCTGTGTTTTGGTGTCTACAGTAGCTGCCTGTATATCTGGAAGGGAATATCTCCTAAACGGCTTTGAACCCCTTTTATGCCTGGGGGTGCCGTTACACGCACAATGCGCCCGATCCTGTTCTTACTCACATTGCGAGGGTTAAACCATTACAGTAATTAATTCACTTTGGAGTATTAGAATTGGTAAATCCTTGCTTTCAGCATTTTCTTCTTAAACGCATTAAATCGCCCTTTTCGGTATGTTACTTCTCAACCCCTTACCATTATTCTCATAGATGTTTTACTGTCATTGAAATCCAATGTGGTCACAGACATTATCTCCTATTATCCCCAGTTGTCTGATTTGCAGCTAAGGATTATGGGGCTTGGTATCCAACAACAGCTGTTGTGCTGCACTGGCATTTTAACCACAGAGAAAGAAGGGGAAGAATGAAGCCCAGGGAACAGCAAAGCTAAGTGGAGTGGGCCTTGACTTAGCTAGGAGGCAGGCATATGGCTAGGGGGAGTGGATTAGTTTAATTCTGTTAGGGGTAGGCCTAGAGCCATATAAATAGCGCCCATTTTAAGGAGACTCCATTTTAAATTAAATTCCCACTTACTTGTTGTTGTTCAGCAGCACGTTGGTGTGAAATTTGTGTCTTTTGTTCTCAGATTACATGGATGCGGATCGGGATGTGAAGGGCTTCATTGCCAGTGTCCGGGCGGCTGAAACAGACCATGGTATGGCCTGGATGCAGGAGTGTTTGGGGACTTCCATTAGAGCAGAAGGAGCCTCTGGGATCCAGGCACGATGGACGGCGAGGCGGACTAGGCCGCCGCAAAGATTGAGCCCTGGGGAGAACCGCGGACCAGGCCGGAGAAGAAAACCTTCACTTTAGGATCAGGAATCCAGGTTGGAGAGTGGAGAAACCTGAGTGCAGAATCGCTGATGCTCAAGGCTAGTTCAGTTACAGCCACACGTCGGCGAGATTGGGATCTCACGATGCCATGCTTTGCGGCAGTCGAAAGGACGGCACGGAATCCAGTTGCGGTAGGCCCCCAAGCCTTGGGGGGTGCTACCAGGAGTGGGACAGCATGGAGGAAGCCTGCGGCGGGCCCGCACTTCCATGGGGGTGCTGCTGGTAGAGTGCAAAAGGACACAGGCCTGGCAATACAGGGTGAGTCGGCCTCCAGGGCCTTCAGGGCCACTGAGGGCAATGTGGGAGGTGGGGGAGGCTGGGGGGACCCATTCACAGCCAGGTTCTCCCCAGGGTGCAGCACAGATGATAGGTAACAGTGTCAATTCTTATCACAGCATGGTGCCCCCACAAGTACATGACACTGCAGGTGACCTTGGGTCTACAGGACAACGGGTGGGCAGGACTAGCCGGACTCAGGATCGCTTAGCCAGGTCCCCAGGTTCCTCGGTAGGTAGCGGGGCTGGCAGACGTACTTCACGTACTCACTCCAGGAGCTTTCAT